GAAATTACACTTTATTGATCGAAAAATCCTTTAAACCTAAAAAAAAATTTATCTTTTAATTTTAGTCTCAGATGAGAAGGCAACCATTGACACTGCTAAGATGATAACAAACACCTGTATCAGACTGTTTGTCTAATTTCACGCAAAGCTACCTGAGGGCTATCTGTGCTAGCTATTCTTAATTTAGAAGTTACAGACTAGACGGAACGCATCTAGTGAACAACACCTACCGCCAACTCTTGGGCTACTCTTTAACAACGAAAACTGGGATTAAACGTCACATTAACACTCACACGGCTGAAAGGCTGAGCATTTTTGGAGACGGGATTCGAACCCGCGACACTCAGTTTACGAGTTGAGCGTCCTAACCATCAGGCCATGCCAAGGTCCACCTGTATTACAAGTACAACATGGTTTGTCGTTACTGTAGAAGTTTCTAGCGGTTTTGGAATTTTTAGCTAATCATTTGTGTTCTTGTTTATATCGGAGGATTAAGCTCAGTGAAGGTCGGTAACAATAAATACATAATAAATAAATTAAATAATATAAGTTTAATTTTGAGTCTCAACAAGGATCGAGTAATAATAGGTTGGCAAACAACTAAAAGTGGTATCAAACGTCACATTATAACGCTCCCAGTGTAACCACGCGGAACGTTTACATCCTAAACCAAATGATATTATATTAGCTTAACGTGCTTCGTTACTGAAGGATAAAATATATATAAATCCAACATTAAAACAAGACGAAGAAACATCCACCACCCCTAAATCAATGGTAGTTATTCCTCGATGTTTTCAGCAACGTCACTTTAAGAAACACGTGCTTTAAAATTTAGCAGATGTCTCCACCAGTTTCTGCTGTTGATGTTAGCTTCTGATGATTTTATTGTTGGTGGTGGCTTCTGACAAATCTTGCTGTTGATGGTAGCTTCTGGTAACTCTTGCTGTTGGTGGTAGCTTCTGACAAGTCTTGTTGTTGGTGGTAGTTTCTGACAAGTCTTGCTGTTGGTGGTAGCTTCTGGTAACTCTTGCTGTTGGTGGTAGCTTCTGGTAACTCTTGCTTTGGTGGTACCTTCTGACAAGTCCTGCTGTTGGTGGTACCTTCTGATAAATCTTGCTGTTGCTGATGGCTTCTGACAAGTCCTGCTGTTGGTGGTAGCTTCTGACGAATCTTGCTGTTGGTGGTAGCTTCTGGTAACTCTTGCTGTTGGTGGTGGCTTCTGACAAGTCCTGCTATTGGTGGTAGCTTTAGACGAATCTTTGTGTTGGTTGATAATTCTTGCTGTTGGTGGTGTCTCCTGATCATTCCAGTTGCTGGTGGTGGACTCTGATTTTATTAAAAAACCCTCGATAAGAACTTACCTTAAAGGTGTTTCCTGATCCCGTTAGTGGGTACTTCTCTTAAAGGTGTTTTCCTCATCCCGTTAGTGGGTACTTCTTTTGAAGATGTTTGTCCCCTGCTAAGAGCTTATTACCTTGAAGGTGTTTTTTACCCAGCTCTCTGATAAGAACCTTTATTGAACTTTGTCTTTCAATAACTCAGCCTAATTTACGTGGATAGTCAAAATTAAAATTAAGCTCAAATCGAAATACGAAAAGAACGAAATAAAATCACAGAACAAAGCTGAGAGAGAGCATGCAAACAGAACAGGTGTTCATATGCAGGGAGTCAACTCGTTCTTAATACTTGCCAAGGCATAACGTGGTGTGCTTTGATACAGCGTTCCTACACGTGACCAGTTGAAATGCTTGAGTAGCGCCACCTGTGCTGAGTTGAATGCATTTTCACTCGGAATCACTTGGAAAAAATTGGGATAGTTTTCAACCGTGTACATTGGATGTGTGTCCCCGTACGTTAGCTAAAAAGACATTAAAACAGCATATTATTCTTCCACCAGGTTGCGATATCGATGTATCTAACACTAATTTATGCACAAAAAACTATTTAAGAAAATTTAATTTGTTTACGTGTAGAGAGTAACCACGCGGAATGTTTACATCATAGAAACCTACAATTATGAAAATGATATATTACCTTTCAGCTTCGTTTATTTTGCTCTTGATTCCTGATGAATGACCTTCTAGTTTTTCAACTAAGGCCTTTACCTCATTTAATACGAAACCTTCATGTTAGAAAAAGTTTATATTAAATTATATAATATTGTACCAACAGATTCGAAGACTTCGTTTGGTTAAACAAAAAAAAGTTCTTCCAAGTTTCGACGTTGTTTCCGTTGCCAGGCTTGTGGTTTCTAAGTCAGAAGCTAATATAATCGGTATACATGTACGTGTACATCAGTAAGCACGTTCACAGATGTAAGCCACTTGTCGTAGAGAGGAATGAAAAGAAAGTCATAGACGTCCAGGTACTTCACTTTCCAACAGTCGTTTTCTACAGTTCTGCCTCTGTCATATGTGCACGAGACATTTTCACAGTCACCTAAGTATTACTCATTTTGGAGTAAGTTGTACAGTGAAAATCCATAAGAAGATCTATACAAGCTTTCAAAAAGGAAAGGAAAAAAATCGTTTTGGAAGAAGTGAATGTACATCAAGTGAGATGCAACAGAATTCTCAGAGAGAGAGGGAAGATAATGAAATACTGTTGCTGTTGAAGTAACCAACAAGTGACGTCAGTACGACTGTACACAGTCAGTAAAAAATAACATGATCAAAACATGAAATAAACAACTTTGTTCCCTGCCAACCTCATCACAGTCAGTAAAAAAAAACATGATCAAAACATTAAATAAACAACTTTGTTTCCTGACAACCTCATCACAGTCAACAAGAATAACATGATCAAAACATGAAATAAACAACTTTGTTCCTTGACAATCTCATCACAGTCAACAAGAATAACATGATCAAAACATTAAATAAACAACTTTGTTCCCTGGCAACCTCATCACAGTGAACAAGAATAACATGATCAAAACATGAAATAAACAACTTTGTTCCTGACAACCTCATCGCAGTCAACAAGAATAACATGATCAAAACATGAAATAAACAACTTTGTTCCCTGACAACCTCATCACAGTCAGTAAAAAATA